CACTTCTACGGCCTCCTCACGGCGGCGCGTGTGACATATGCATTTGCAAGATACCGATATTCATAAAACGGCTGAGATAAGTGGGAGAGGGAGAAAGAGAGAGGGAACGGGGTCTGAAAGGGAGCGCGAGGCCTAGAGAGGTGGGAGAACTTTTAACGCAGTCAGGTGGATCTCTCGAGCGCGCAGCGCCTAGTCCTGCTTTTCTTTTAATGAAACTATGCTAATTTTTTACGTAACGTTGCGACCGCGCGCGCAGTCTTATTCATTAATGCCTGGACCAGCAGTTTTATCATGATGCAGCCTGCAACTCATCAATGTATAGATGCACTGAGAAAAATTTCCATCGGATAAACCAATTAAATAGTGTTTCCGATGCGGTGACCGATGAAATTTGATCGATAAACCGTTCATATTTTTCACCGGATATGTCCGATTTGTTATTGTGTAATTGAGCTATCCGATTGTATTCAATTGAAAATTTCTCTCGGTGTGGGACCAACACTGAAAAAAATTTCTGGTTGAATATGGACGAATCAGATAATTCCTTTAGGATTTACCAGAATTCCTTTAGGATTTACCAGAATTCCTTTAGGATTTACCAGAATTCCTGTAATCCTACAGATAATTCCTTTAGGATTTACCAGAATTCCTTTAGGATTTACCAGAATTCCTGTAATCCTACAGAAATTCTGGTAAATCCTAAAGGAATTCTGGTAAATCCTAAAGGAATTATCTGATTCGTCCATATTCAACCAGAAATTTTTTTCAGTGAAGGATTATGAAAATGTGAATCCTACACTGAAAAAAATTTCTGGTTGAATATGGACGAATCAGATAATTCCTTTAAGATTTACCAGAATTCCTTTAGGATTTACCAGAATTCCTTTAGGATTTACCAGAATTCCTTTAGGATTTACCAGAATTCCTTTAGGATTTACCAGAATTTCTGTAGGACTACAGGAATTCTGGTAAATCCTAAAGGAATTTTGGTAAATCCTAAAGGAATTATCTGATTCGTCCATATTCAACCAGAAATTTTTTTCAGTGTAGTAAAACTGAGGTCCAGACATCAATGAATAAGACTGTACAAGCAGTAATATGCAATTGATAAATGAGAATGACTGTATACCGTCGCCCGCGATTCGCGGAAAGAATTATTGTCGCGTTTCAGTTGAAACGTTGGGTATCATAACGATCTCCTCGCCGGGAGGAGTCGGCTTCGTAAGGAGCCGACGTTCGCTCCTGCCCTCGGTTATTTATCGCACATCCTCGGGAGATCCACAATTAGTACACCGGTATTTATTGCGGAGTAAAGTCAGCCGGTGATTACCGGTTAATGAATTAGTCGTTACGCGCAACGTGACTGGCGTTAGGTCGTCGCCGTTCCGCGAAGGTAGTAGCGAGCGGACGCGCGTCCGCTCGCTGGTTCGCTCCGTAATCGCGTATTCTCGTACGTCACGACGCGTATACGAAACATGCACGCGCGAAACATCGGCACGGACACCAGCGCAAGTGAATTCTGTGCTGCACCTAGAGTTGTCGTGTGATTATTAGCATATATTCTAACGTTCAATTGCACCTCGGCCGACTTCCGCGTTCCCGTCACACGCGAGTCACGCGCTTGCTCGAGCTACGAGCTCTCCTCGCTCGCTTTATACACACGCACACATACGTGCAGTGCGCTAATTAAATATGTCGCGCAACATAGCGGAATATCGTGAAAAATTTAAGGCACTCCCTCAGAGATATTCGCATACTGTGCCAGGGACTGTAAAACGGGAGAGAAAGAGAGAGAGAGAACGGGGGGGGGGGGGGGTTTAATGATTTTTTTTAAATTTACAAGCAAGAAAGTTGAATCAGGGCCTTTAGGATATAAATCAAATAGACACAAGAACGCTAAATCATTACTTAGGTCTAGGCAAACTGAAAGTAACCCAATAATTTTTAATTTATATACGTGAATTCATATACCGTTTTTTTCCAACCTGTTCTGCGCGCCCGTTACTTTCGGACATAAGTAGAATACAGGTTTTCGTTAGGTGGAATCGTTGTCGACGGCAAATTCACGTATTATCGATGAACGATTAATTTAGAAGAATTTTAAAACAACAGAGGATTCTGTTATCAGGTATTTATCTCCTAATTAACTCCCGTTAAGTGGATGCTATACCGAGTGCTCGTTATTTGAAGTCTTGCGTATTCTATATATCTTGGAGAGTGGCCGAATCGCGAATGTCGTAGCGCCGAGATGGAGGCGCGTGCGAGTAAATCAAAGCCTCGCCTACCAACTTAGTCGGTTGCGTCGCTATTTTAGACGTTTCGCGCCTTTTCCACGGCGGACGACGACGCCCTGGCCTCGCGCCAGATTCGGCGGGATTCATATGTCTGAATGCATCAAGCACGTGGAAGCGTCCTGACGCGAGGCCGCTTTCGTGCACGTGCATAGACGCGCGTGCGAGGTTGACAGACGTCTCGCTTTTCTTCCTCGTGCCTCGAGTGTCTCCTTCCGCTTGTCCTCGTTTATGAGCTCGGGCTAAAATGTTACGGCACCCGTGGAGCGGTGCCAAAAAGGGCATGCACGCGCTGCAAGATCGGGGCTCCAAATGAACAGCGCTGATTAAATTCTTCTTTGAATGGCGCGATTTAACGTGTGTATCCCCGCTTGGCATTCACGCGAACGCAACCGCTCGTGGGCTCGTACTTGGATGAGAAATCGAGCAACGAGAAATTAAAGGGAAAATGATAATTTAATATGATTAAAGGTATATTTCAATATACTTTGGATAATAAGTATTTTGAATGCCGGTAAACGTTGTCGTCTGTCAAACTCTTATTATTACGCCACAAACGCGAGAGGCGCACGAAGCTGCGTGACGTCCTTGCGTGCGCACGACGGTCTTGCGGCTTACGAAGGACGCGAGACCGTGGCATAAAATTACCGATAAGACTCGCCGGCACGGAGGGGCTTCTCGACGAGTTCATTAGCCGACCAAAATTATGAAGCGTGCGCCGGCGGGATTTGTTTTCCTCGTAAATTTTGGGCTGAAAAAGAAAAGAAAGCGACGTTCGCGAGATGAAATAATCGCAGGCCGAACTCGGATTTCACGAGCGAAGAAGCGGATTGAGAGAACTTTCGACGCGCGACAATCGCGACTCTGGAAGCACACAGAAACATTGAGTACATAATAAGTTAATAACAGCCTATTGCGCTTTATTACGTATGAATCACCACGAATACCGAACGAGAGAATTGACTCAATAAAGATAAGATAAACTGCTCGGCGGGTGCGAAATGATCGTCGCGATGGAATTGTACTACAACGATTCAGAGACGCGAACGGGTTAGAGCTGAGAAAGAGAGGAAAGACGATTTTTCTCGCGCGCGTGAATGCGACATCGTTGAATCGTATTACGGAAGTGCCCTTGTCGACAGTTCGCGGTTGTATCCGTAGTAGAGGAATCCGGACCAACCGGATTTCCAGCGATTGTGCCAGGCGCCGCGAATGGCATAGTTTGCAGAAACGCCCACGGTTTCGTATGTCATCCAGAACGCCTCCTTGGCCGCATGGTCTGCACGGGAAGTTTCGTCAAAGGATTTGTTTCTATCTAAATTATTGCAATGCCAGTAATTCCGATCTCTCTCTCTTTCCTTACAAAGATACTTTTCCACTACTCTATATACTTTTATATATTTTTTTGTGGAAGATGTGTAACAGAAAATTTCTTACATAGTAGAAGAGATAATTAAAAATGATCATATTTATTATATACTATTAGTTTAGTCTTACAATTAGTAAAGATTAATTCTTTCTTATATAGTTAAATTCCTATAATTCTTTTTCTACAGTATAATTTCGAAAATTTAAACACATTACTGGTGGTGGAAGGAGAGAAGGCTTATTGTTAGAGTCCCGCCAAAATACTACATAGCTCTCCCAAAATGTAATACCTTCACGAAAGAGGTATTGAATATTTTTATCAAGACCAGAGAGATTTTATTTAAACAAAATAGTACCTATCTGCTACGAAAATAATATATTATTTGTAATATCTTCCGTTAAAATGCAATATACATACTTATATTAAAGTTTAATTGAGGTTAATTTAAATTTAAATGTTATTCTTACAAATAATGTGAACCTTGAAACTTGCTCTATTTTATTACCTAGGTATTTATTCAAAAGGGTGATAGCACCCTCCCCACCCCCTAAAATAACACTGAAAAAAAGGTCCAAGAAAAGTATTATATTTTTGAGTGGTTCCCTCTTGATTTTAGAGGATTTCCTTATGAAAATAAAGAAATCCTCTAAAATCAAGAGGAAACCACTCAAAAATAGAATACTTTTTTTTGGGTGAATGCTTCCGCCGCCAGTAAACACTTATTACAAATAAACTTTGAAGTCTAAATACGTATTATTTCTAATTATATTGTAATATTATTTAGATTATCTTTACCTATGCTTTTCAATTATTAATTTATTATTTATACGATTGCTACGATTTTTATTCCGACCTATGATATTTACTCCAGCACAATTTCGCGCTTATTTAAGTGCAAATAGGAATTTTGTGTGTGAGATAAGTATTATCGCACACATCCGCCAGTGATTTCGGGTATAGGAAAAGAAACCGCTCGGTAACATCACATATCCATTATACGATGTTTTCATTTATTCCTACGATCTGCAAAACATTTTTCGACTAACGCACTTTGTAGAAATATTAATGCTGACTAATTGTCGATCGCTTTTTTGACGAAATTATTTTAAGTACAATTTTTTAATTTAAAAAACATGTTGCCTTTTATGACGAAGAAATATATTCCCTGCGTTGTAAGAATTACGTTACTAATAACATTATGCATAATTGGATTAAGTTGTTTACTGCACTACGCGAGCGTGACATTTGTGTGTTTACGTTATTTGCGCGACGTATATCGTTCAATGTGCGACGCAATCGTACGAGTGATTTAATAGACGAATCCATCAATTCTGTTTCAGATGATGAAGAGATCGATGTGGTCACGTTCCCAAGGCAGTCAAACACGCGAGTTCAGCAAGGTAGCGTTGCGAATCCAGGACCCTCAACTTCAAATGACACCGTTTACCGTCGACCCCGTGGCAGACCACCAGGTTCTTCAAAACGGAAGAAAGACGAGCAGGACGATAAAGAAGCTGGCCCCGCGCCGAAACGTGGCCGCGTGCAGAACAATCAACGTCCAGCATCACCAACAAGAAGACGACGGAGTTGCAATCAAGTTGTGCAAAATCAGAACGTAAATCAAGTCGAACATCAAGACGAGCGTGAACAGAGACGAGCACAGCACAATGATTTGGAACGACAGCGGCGGACAGCCCTCAAGAAAGAACTCTTCGCGTTAAAACGCGAGATACCGGATCTTATGAACCTTCCGAGGGTGTCAAAGGCAACCATTCTGACCCGTTCAGTGATTTATATTAGGCAAATCGTCGCTGAGCAACAGACTTTGGACATAACTCTTGAGAGAAGGAAGAGAATACTCCGGGCACGCCAACTGAAAATCCAGGCGTTCAGAAATGCTAAAGAGTGAGGTTTTTGTCCCAGATATAGAAATTAAAACGACCACGCATCCATCCAACTCCCCGCAACGTATGCGACATAAATTAAACGAAATACAGAATTTGCCGCAGATGTCTTAAAATCGCAAAGCTCTGGTATGTAGTAATTATTTTTTATTGTGGATACATATCCATTTCTCATAATCGTATAGTGTAACAACACAACATAGCACGCATTTTTAAAAAATTGATATTATTATCAGAAAAAAAAATTATTAGTTGTGTTGTTGGGATTAGCGTAAAATTTATTACAAAAGTCGGAAATTCCGATTTGCTTGATGAAAAAAAGACATACCCTTCTGGTTTCGTTTCGATTGGCACAAAGATATTAATTTTAATATCTTCTTTTTAACATCGCGTATATTCATAGCGATTCACACTCCACCTTTTGCCGACGTCCTTGCACGACTTATTGCACGTCGGCGAGTCATCGACGAATGTATTTTAATTTTCGCCGCCCAGAAAAGAGCGGATTGCTCGAGCAGAGTCCTTCTGCTTCGCGTCTATTTTTTACTTTTACACTCGAAATTCAGTTCCCTCTCTCGCCGTATCTCGTTAACAAGACTTGTCACAATTAATGTCCAGATCTCTCAAGGCTTGGATCTCATTTACCGCATTGCAAATAACATCCTCTACGAATAAGTCCATTTTACGGATGTAATTAATGTCCGGTTTAAGCTGATGATATTTTTCCTTTCTGCTTTCTCGCGATTTAATTCCCGCCAGGCGACGGTCTATCGAGTGACAATGATTGCGCGGTATTGAAACTCCGCGAATTTAGCAAAATTATCGACATGATTTATGTAATTAAAATTCGATTCGAAATTAATGAGTCAGTGAGGATATAAGAAACGTTTTCTTATTCAAGTTTTGGAAAAGAATCGCCTGCCAAGTGATGAGACGGATATTACCTAACACCCTGTATAAAGTTCATGCAAGAAGCGGTTAGAACCGGTCCGAGTCCGAAACGCGTCCTAAGATCGACGAACCGGCAGTCAGGTTGCTGGGCAATATCATGATAGGGAGAGATTCGGACATTGCCTCGTTAACGAAATACGGCGATAATCATGAATGAGAAGTCAGCGTGCCATGCGCAGACAATACGCGCGCGAGCTATTATGATTATGTTTCTTATGTGTACAGTTTTGAGTGTGCGATGTGAGTACATGGTACGTGTATCATAATCGCTGTTTTATACAGTCCCATCGCTTTTATATAAATCGTGCAAAAGCTAACATCGTGCGATGTAGCCATCTTAATTTAAGAAGTTCGCGGCGCACGATGTTACGGCAAACTGAAACCTAGAACAATGAGAGTGCGCGCAAATATCATACTATAATAACTGTAATAATATTAATCGTTACTTATTCGCCGTCAGAACAGCGGTATCATTTTTTACTTTTGCTGTAAGTTATAAAGTTATGACAGTTTAAAGTTGCAGAAATTATAAAAGTTATTGAGTTATCGTACCTAAAAAACGAAAGGTACCTAATGTCCTATTTACATTTCTACCAATGAAAGCAATCGGTCAGTTAAGGAGGGTGGTTGCTGAAATAAAAATGATAAAAATGAATTTAAATTTCTAGAAAATATTCGTCTATGGGAATCTGTCCTCCATGCGAAAGTTCAAGACGATTGTCTGCATGGTTGTCGAATAATTAATTATTAAAGTTGTACTATTGCACATGGCCAACATAGCAAAAGTATTACGATATCTGTAATTTAATTCTCGAAAGCATGTTAAAAATGATAAGAATTTTATAAAAATAAGTGCAAATAATTCTACTATATATATATATATATGTTCTTGATAACTACGTAGACATATATATATAGTATATATATGTTCTTGATAACTACGTAGACATATATATAACTACTATATATATGTATTCTTGATAACTACGTAGACAAGTCTCATTTCAGTATTCGTCACAATTCTTCGTAATTATGTATAGAATTATTTGCACTTATTTTTATAAAATTCTTATCATTTTTAACATGCTTTCGAGAATTAAATTACAGATATCGTAATACTTTTGCTATGTTGACTATGTGCAGTGGTATAACTTTAATAATTAAGTCCTATTGCCTGTTCCCTGGCATTGTGTGATAGGCTTAATACGGCTCGCTTAGTGACCAAGCAACATGATCAGATAGGCCATGCGTACAATTTTCAGCGGCTCGGTCTTACGGCTATTACCGTATCTCATTAATGAGCCTTGATTGTACAACTAACATCGCGTTCTTCTATTGAATATACATAGAATATAGACAATAAAATGAACCGGGTTTGTTGTAACGTGTTGCTTTCTGATCTGTCTCATTTTCTTTCGGTCACCAACGATTCGTAAAGATAGGAAATAGGTGTGTCGTGGGATCGATCGATTATTTCTTTATAACACGACTCGATCCTACATACACCTTTCATTTTCAGTAACGCCTTTAACAATTTCTGTAACACGGTTTCCTTTTAATTAACCGATTGTTTTGTTTTTGTTTATAAATTGTTTTGTTTTGTTTATAAATTGTTTTGTTTTGTTTATAAATAGGACATTAGATTCCTTTTGTTTTTTTGTAATTATAAAACACATTTTTAACGTACAAGTTTCTAGATACAATTTGCATAAATTTTGGGATACTGTATAAAACATTTGCACAACTATTGTGATACACGCAATGTGCACTCATCGCACACTCAAAACACACACACGCACACACACTCGCGCGCGCGCGCGTACACACACTTACTCACACTCGTTCACTCACTCACTTACTCACTCACACACACACACACGCACACACGCATGTACGTCATACATAATGCGCATAAAATACATATGATTAATTGTATTAACTTCTGCAAAATATTAATATTTTGCATAAATATGAGTACTCCACACGCAGGTGTAATATGCATCGTTATGTATGTCATACAAGAGTTTAATTGATGAATTGAAGACGCGAGCCGGGGAAAGCTTAGTCTTCGATGAAGATTTTTTTATATTGCTATACAGATATAAGGAAGTAATATAAGAAAAGAAAAACAATACAATGTGTTCAATAAATATACGGAGAACAGTATTAATTTATATCCATATTTTTTACGATAGAAAAATGAAAAATACACACACACACAACAGACGCAATTTACAAAGAGACATGTTACATACTTAACACATTGTACAATGGCGTCACGCGATCACGAGTAATAAGCGCGCCGCTTTATTCGCACGTCCAAATTCAAGTTATAAATAGAATAACAATGACGTCTGAGAGAAGTAGAGAAGCTGAGGTAGTGCAGAATAAAGAGTATTGGTCAAGAACGTTGTAACATTATGACACGCACGTGTATATACGCGAGAACAGACACACACACACATACTATACACACAATCGCATACAACTAAATAGAAACTATTATTAACTTAAAGACATTGGATATTTTTAATCGCTACCCACGTTTAATATAGATATTTATAAGTATACAGATAAACCATAGTAATATACGCAATTATAATACAGTTCAAAATACGGGCGACACATAATAGTTTCCTGACAGTGGGAAGAATGTATAATTTGGATTCAAAGATCGCGAAGGAATCCTAAAAAGAATTAGAAACAACGTTCTTTTGTACTTTTTATAGACTGTTTTGTTTTGTGTTTCGCGTTAACATCGCGACTACACGTTTAGCTAATATTATTTTAATAAAATATAGCCGTGTTTAGATATAATTTCACTATAGAGTAAAAATAAGCTCATAGTGCATTAATTTAAGTTATGCATTAAGTTAAGCATTTTCAAAATTTCTTTAAATTTTATATCTTTTCTTCGTATATTCGTATATACATGTACGGGGATGCACGAAATCAAAGGCTTTGACAAAAATTTCTAATTGAGTTTTTCAATTAGAGTATCCAACTTTATACGTACCCAAGCCCAGTTTACAATTTCTAAGTTTGTATACTTTTAAAATTTCGAACTTTACTTCATGTCGTTTATCTCGCGGAAGACTCGAAGAATAATGAGATTAATGATGGCATTTCCATATAAAGCAAAATTGTGCAAAGATTTTTCTCATAAAGTCAATATGACAAACTACATGTAACAAGTGCTCATCTTATTTTAATGAATGACCCCAAGTGTGGGTATTATTTTCAACTCGACTTCTCTCAGTTGATTCTTCGCGATTCAAAAATAATTCTTCGCTGACAGCGAAGTATAGATGGTTAAGATTAACAAAAGGAAACTCTATATATTCCTCGCGGCAAATTCCGTTATTGAGGAGAACGGAAGCCTTCTCTCGCGTAAAACTTCGCTTTTTTGCTTGCACGTGTGTCCGACCTGTGAGTTCTCTAAATCGTGCCAAATGAATTTAGTATGTTTTAAGTACTAAATCAAGTATAACTTAATACATACAGGTATAGCACAAGAAATCGAACTCACATCTTAGATTTAAAATAATAGATTTCTTTCTGCCTTTTGTTTTTGTTTTTCTTCAATTTGTTTTTTTTTTAATTGATCGGAGTTTTTGGTTCTTCTCTCGGCAAGGACCTTTATTGAAAATTGCTCAGAGAAAACTGATAACATAAAACTGATTGGCGGATTGCGATGGTGTTTTGTTTCGTCTTTCATTCTATAGTTCTTTTATTTTTTTGTGTGTGTGTGTGGAAGAATTTTTCTCGGATCATTTTTCATTCTCTCTCACGCGTTCGAGACGACAGCTCAGAAATTAAGCCCAGCTCTAGAGAATTCGCAAAAAGTAAAAGAAATCATCATCTTTTCCATTTTTATACGCAAGATTGATAAAATGTATGGACGACAGAATATTGGAGAAATAGTAATTTCTTAATAGAAATAGTTTGTACTCAATTAGATGTAGATCTTTAAATTTTGATTAGGTAATTAAGGTATTATAAACATATGCATTAAATAAATGCAAGATCTCTTTTGATTATCGTCCCGAAATTACAATTCTTTTTTATACAACTATGGCATGCTTACATTTCGTAAATTATATTTCGCTAAAGTAGCAAATGATGTAACAAAGAAAAATAAAAAGCTGGCTTAACAGATTAGCCGATTTTGTATTGGCTACCACTAAAAATCGCGCGAAAAGAAATATTGTAACAGGATATTTTCACGAATAGATATTTACGATATGATTCATACGTATCTTTTCTACAAAGTCTCGAACTTATGTCTTTCCTTTTCTTATTAAATTTTGTTACCATACATTGCATTAAATAAGAAATCATTGAAGACGGATATTACTGTTTCCACTACGCTATAAATTGTGACCATACAAATTGCTCTCCATCAGATTTTTCGAAACAAACATCTCGCGTCCGTCATGAAGAATACACACGTACCTGCTAGCATTAATAGTAATAATAGTTAGTTTTTAATAAAAGAAAGTAGATTTTAGTTACAAAATATTAGATTTACAAAACTATCTAGCTTTAACTAAATCTTAATTAAAAATAATACTAGTACGTAATAAATCGATTATAAATAATAAGTATAGAAGCCTTCGTGAGCCTTGCTCTTTTCTATTTACACAAAACAGTTTTCTGGTCACAAGAGCGCTCTACGAGTTCAGAAATTTATACTTTCCTTGCTTACACTTTTATTCTCATTTTCTTCTCGTGACACCGGAGTGAGGTTCCCTGTTTGTTTCCCGTGAATACATTTCATTTCGCGTTTAAAAGAATATCTTCCGATGTGTCGATGATCACAAAAGGAAGTGTTTGATTTGAAAAACACAATATGATTTTTGTCAAATTGATACATTAGTCAATAACTTGTTTCCGTTCTTTTCTAAAAAAAAGAACTCTACTTTGTCGCAAGCTTTCTGTAGTTTTCGTTGGACTTTAGTGAATAATATTCATAAATTAAAATAGATACTTAACGATAAAGGCGCAGATTTCCACAATCAAGATTTAATTTCGTCAACTACAATTTATGTAAATAATACGACAATGTACCTAACGATCATTTACACAGGAAAGTTTTATATATGTATTGTATGAAGAAAAGAATTGATATATGTATACACTATATATATATATATAAAACTACACAAGGGACGGTCTTCATAGATACCGCTCAGATCTTATATTTAAGATCATCTTTAAGATACTCCATAGTCAATGAAATTTTCCTTACAGCATCTTGAGATAAAGACGATCCTAAATATGAAATCTAACTATGAATACCAGCTATAGTTTCTTATAATAAACTATATTTATATATTCTTGAAGTTTTAGAAGGTACGGCACTGTGGAAATGACAAAAGAAGTTGTGACGAAATGCTTGATTGGACTGCAATAAAGTGAGAATGCTTAGGAAATTACCATATATATATATATATCCTAATCATTGAAGGATAAATAAAAAATATCTTTTCTTGTTTTGAAAAATTTGAGTTACTTAAAAAAAATATATATGTGTACATACATACGTATAATATATACATATGTAAATTATTTTAAGTAACTTTTTCACACAAAGCAAGGAAAGATATCTTTTATTTATTCTCTTTATTTTTATATACGCTACCGAAAATCATTTCTCGCGATAATTCGACGAGAAATTTGGAACGGTCGAATCACGGTGTCTCGCGCCAAATATGGGTAGCTAGAACTGCGCGCGCGAGACCGACCGTGTAGTTTAGGTTTTATACTAATAGACGCTAGCGTAATTTTTGTTAGTAATAATAAGAGAGATAAAGAAGAATTTGTATAACTAAATAATTATATATGTACAAAACTTCT